TTTATGTGATATTTCAAAAATGATTATCACAAATTTCAACCAATAATATCGCTAGAAAATCGAATGTCCATTATGCTGTGTAGAATATGGATTTAGCTCTAAGTCCCAAGCTTGAGACCGAGCTATAGTGTGCATATAAAGAGGTTGTGCATTTATAGAGCGTGCATTTATAGAGGTGTTAATGTATCTTAGATTTCTTGAATGAATCGTCTGACATAGAACCATTCGATTTAAAAATTGATTTTTACATAAAATCTCTCGAAAGTATTTTCGATCACGAGCAAGGGTCCCGGAAGCAAAGAGCACGAACTCTTCTTGATAATTATAGAAAGGCAAGTAACTTTTTTATTAGAAATGTAAATGTGAAAAGGTGACGTGACAGGCTTACTGGGTCTTTTTCATTCGAGTCACAAACCAGTGCTGGGGCACAGGTGGCTTACTGGGTTGTCTGATGTTCAAGGCTACTGGCTGGACTGATTGGATAGAAACTTGGAATATGGATGATGAAATGCCAGTTAAGAATATTAATTCTCTAAAGTTTCATGCCAGGATGGTGACAATAGTGACCGTGAACTCGCTAAATGTTGGGAGATTGCTCGTAGAAGTGAACCCTCGATCAACATTCAGTACTCAATAGTTTTAGGAAAAGGAACTATATATGGTGGAACTACCAACGGTGGTATTTCCAATATAAATATAAGGTGCATATGCGAGTTTTTCTGCTAAAGGTTAAGAGTCAGTGGAGCTAATTATTTTTCATTTTAATCCTTTAGGAAGATGAAGAACAAACAAAACGAGTACGTTTTCATGAGGAAAAGCCTCCACCAAATAAGAGATCATCAAGAGAAAAGAAGGTCGGTTAAAATTTTCTCCGCAAAAACGTCTTTAACAGAAGATAAATCGAATTGATTCCTTTTTAGAGGGATACATTGCCGGATGGAACAAAAGTTGAGAAGGCGACTACTCTTAACCTGGTACCATCGGATGATGAAAATTTCTCTGAAGAACACAATGGTGAAGATAACGAACAAGATAATGATGATGATGAAGATGCCCCTCTTCCCGAAGAAACTCTCAATTCCGTTCTTAGTGGCCCAAAGAATTGGATTCTTCCCTCTGGTAAAAATGTTTGTGATATTGTTTCCAGGAAAATATCTGCAAATGCGGAAGCAATCAAAAAAAAGAAGAAGATATCAGCTTCAGAAAAAGCCACATTACGTTATGGATCATCACGAATCATCGATTTATCCACAAATATGACGAACTGGTTCTCCGTTAATGATAGGAAATTCATGATGAAAGACCACAAGGCTATATTGCAAGTTCCTGTCATGACGGATGAGGAAAACTCATTTGTAGTAGCAGTTGAGAATGTATGTGCAATTTTTAGAATTCCAGCTTGTTCTATATGTACATGTATATTGACTGACTCAGTATTTTCTTGTACAGATAATATGTGAAGAAAAAATAAATGAGGCGTACGATTTTTGTATTAAGAAACACATTAACTCCGAAAAGAACAGCTATATCTATAAACTTAGCAAAATATATAGTGACTTGTGAGTAATTTATTATACTATGTATTTTTTTCTATTCTTTATTCTTATTTTTTTGTGATTTAAATTCTCTGTGTTCAGCATTTATAGATGCAAAGACCAAACAGATATGCTGGGCAGTGGACACACAGAAATTGATGTAATTCTGAAGACTTGTTCGTATATCATTGAAGGGCTAAACCAGGGTCTTGTAATACGTCAAAGATGGTTTGTATGAATAAGATTTGTTTTCCTTACAATTAAGCTTTCACAAGTTACTTACATCACAGTTTGTATTAAAGGGGCGATTCCTTTTGTCCATTAACCAAAAGTACAGAATATAACAATGGTCGCAAATGTGATGTGCGTTTCCTCTCGGCATTAGGAGTAGATATAGGAGAGTGGGAGTTCGCGTCAAATTTCACAGCACAAAAAGCGATTGGTGACCGTTGCCGATCTGCACGGATAAATCAGTCTATTTTAAACGGTTTGTTAAATCGCAACTTGAATGATGAATCGGCAAAAAAAATCAATGTTCCATTTTTGCAGGTTGCTGGCACAAGCGGTCAAATGTTGGTCGAAGATTTAGTTGAGGGTAAGGTTGCTGGACGAAATCAAGAGTTTAGACAGACGTCTAAATAGTAAAAGTAAAACTTGGTTAAAATATATTAAAACCTTATTGAAAAATCTGCGAAATTTGGAAAAAGGTAAAACTATATTAAAGCTTATAAAAATGGCGAAACTATATCAAACACTTAGTAAAAATTTAGCGAAACTAAAGGTTTTACCGTTTTGCCAAATCCAAAATGAGTTTAGACAAGCAACCTTAGTTGAGGGTTTTTACGTTTTCTTTCCCGGGCTGACATTTGAATTTCCCACAAAACTGCAACATATCGAAAATCTAAAATCAGCTGTAAATATTATCAAGTTTGTTATGGTGAGCTTATGATATTTTGTTTATTCATTAAAAAGGTTTACATGTCACATGTCTAACTTTTTGACATTTTGCATAGGATAAGTACAATCAAACAAATAAGATAGTGGAATGTAAAGTAAGCACACATAATGCGTTCGATGATATTTTCAGCAAAAATAATGATCTTGGTATTAGCAAACATGTTCATTGTAAATCCAAATATATTTGTGGGTCATGGTGGACTCCGAAAAGTAATAAGTCATAACATATAATATAAATTTTTTTGCTATATGAGAGAATTTTATCTTAGATTAGAGTTTAAAATTATATATTTTCGTTTAGCAATCTATATGAAAAAATAAAAAATATACATAAAATAAAAATATACATGTACTACATATAACTACTATCCGATAATTTTTCTTGGCAAAAGTGACAAATTGTAACGTGTACGTGACTAAAAATTCTGAGGTAAGCATTTCAACCGTACCTATTCTTTCATTTCATGTCTCTAATTCTTTAGATGATTCCTCTGGAATTGATTCAAAGAATTCGCCTGCTTCACAAAGTGATTAGCTCATTCCACTCCAAAAGAAGTTACCAAAATGGAAGCGTGATAAGGTTATTGATTTAGTGATAAATTGATTCAAAAGAACTACCTCATGTTTAAATCTTCATGCTAGTATAGATAGGGAATGTGTTAACCAAGTAGATTGTGATCTCATTCATGATATGCAAATCTGTCTTATATGCAAAAAAGATTATTGCTATCTGGAAGGCCACTGGTTGATCAATAGTGAAGATAGTAAAAAATATTATTTGATTTGTGAAAATATCCAAGAACCCGGAATTCCACTTAATGAGATGTTAACATTATATTCTGAAAGAACAAGTCCAGATAGCTGGAATCATCTTCTGAAAGTTCTGAATAGAGAAGTAACAGTAGAAGCATAGGCAATAGCATGTTATGTATCATGAACAACGTCTCGATTTATATTATTTTTTTTTGCGTGTTGTGTCATACTACTATTAATAAAGTATATTTGTCTTAGTGCTTCCCTTTTTCCAGTCTACTAACACCTTCACTCATCTCATTATGCTTAGAGTCGCTAAATATTTTTGGAATCTGCTCTACTAAATGAGCATCAGCTAATGATTTCTCAAGTCAGCTCGACTCCTCTTCTTGAAAAAGAAAATCTTTTTCTATCAATGTCTTTTGCATTAAAACTAAATCATCTTTCATCTGTAGTAATTCATCCTTTTTTCAGCCAGTGAATCTTCTAATTCTTCTTTCGCTAAAAATAAACCAATGTTTTTATTAGATAGTTTAACTTTTTCTAATTCAAATTTATGCTTGAAAGAATCCATTTCTGATAAGTTCTCCTGTAGTAAAGAAATATCCTGCTCTAATTCCTTCACTTTAGATTGGAGAGCCTGCATCTCTTCTATCATCTTGGATTGAATGGCTTGCATCTCTTCTGATTTTATAGTGAATTTGTTTTCAGTATCTGCAAGAGAAATATCTTTACGAGTGATTTGAAGCTTGAGATCATTTATCTCTACCTTATTTCATCTTTAAGCTTAGGATCATTTATCTCTGATTGTAACAGTATTATCTCTTTCCTGAGCTGATATATCTGATTGGAAAGTTTATCTTTTTCTTTTTTAGATTTATTAAGATCATTCTGTATGTATTTATTTTCTCTTTCTAAGACATCATAACTATTTGCAAATTGACTTCTCCAATATATAGTAACTTCACAGTCTTTTTTGTGTAAAAAAGTTAATCTTTAAGCTTTGTTTGGCTAGAGGGATAATAATTAGCTGGAGAATTTCCAAGTTTATTACCATTATCTAAATCTTTTAAGATATAGATCTAAGGTATTTTATTGGTATTTTTTTTTACTTTAGACAAAAAAAAAATTTAACCAGGGGTCTTAAACTTGTAAGAAAGGGATTATTTTATTTGGCAAATCTAATACCTATTGATATTTATTGAAAAAAAGAGTGAAAGCAATGGTACTTATTCATACTTATTGATGCATACTAAAAGAGAATATTAATATGTATTGAAGGGCACTAATATGTATTAAAAAGTACTAACTCATATTGAAAGGTACTGATATATATTAAATCATCAGAAATATTAATACATATTGAAAAGTATTGAAAAAATTTTTGGTAGTTTTTTGCATATATATTCTAATTAAAAAATAGTCACTCATCTCCATAAAAAATTTTATCGATCTAATACAACTCACTTGTTAGAGTCTGATATTAAAGAAATTAGAGAATCGAGAGGTAAGATACCTAATGCATCAAAAAAAATGACTGAAAAATTCCATATTGATGCTCAGTGTATTTTATGAAATATGGAACAATAGTAAACATATCCAATAAGAACCTATTTTATCTTTCTCCAATCAGCCTACTTTGGATAAAAATTCTTATACTGATAAGATGGAACAGACTCTTGATGCGGTATCAGAAGTATCATCTATACCCCTTCTGATTATAAAGATTCCAAAAAAGAATAGTTGAAAAAAGAAGGTTAAAATAAATGAGAAGTTGGTTACTGGATCAAGCAGTACAGTAGAAAAAAATAACAAAAATTGTGTGACTTCTTCTGCTGATAATTCGTCTGATAAATCCCAAGAAGTCAGGTTGGATTTTCTTCTTAAAAATCTAGTTAATTGTGGTGAAAAGCTTAAGAGTTTAACAACTAATACTATTTTCCTTATATAAGGATTCACATATATCAGCAAGAAATTTATAAGTACTTAAGACCAAATAGAGCATTTCTTTAGTCTTTATGAAATGCTTTTCAAATTTTTCGCACTTTTTTTTAAGTCCTTCTCACTAATTGGATCAGAAGAGTTAGCAAATACCTAAAGTGATGATTCATGCTCCTCTTTTGGCAGATTTTTGACTACTAGAGCCTTATTAAAGGTTGGGATAATATATGTTTTCTATTATTTATGTAGAACTGATTTTTAGTTAGATTAGAAATATCTTTGACTTTTCAAATTCCTGTTATATCTAACCATAACATTGGCTTGAGCTCACCATTGTCGACACAAACATAATTTCCAATAATAGTGATGATCAGGCTTCCTTTTATATCCTTTAAAATGACCGCTATATTCGTATACCATTCTAATACTTCAGAGATATATTCAGAATTACCTTTTACAGAGAATTTAGAAGGCTTATCAACTTTTCATCCAAGCGCTTCACCAGTAACTAAATTAAATCCATCAAATTTACTTCATTATCTAAAAAAGATTTAGAGATTGGTAAGTCATTTATACTAGCATTCAAGTATTGTAGAGACAAAAACCACTCATCTTTTTTTAACTTCTTCTACTGAGACTTTTGAGACAAACACATTTTACGCATTACCAGTGAAAGCTTTGGTAATAGCTGATCATATATTTCAGGCTGACTAGTTACCAGATGTAGCCTATCATTCATCAGTTTCTTTTTTTTACTAGTGCATAATACTACACACTTTCTTCTAGATTATTATAACTACCCCTACCATGTTTCTCATTATCTGAACCTGAGAGTATGAATTGGAGGTTTATAGGTTCAAGAGGCTTGAAATAAGAACGATTGAAATTAGATCGTGTAATTGATTTATTAGAATAACTGCCTTTATTATGACCTGTTTCTTCACAAACATCACATTTGTAAATATTTAGTTTCTTAAAATTGATTGTTAATTTATTTATAGTATCACAAGTTTTATCAAGTCTATCTTCGATCTTATCAAATCTATTATAGTTATCATTTCGCTGTGAACAAGATCTTTGAAAAGGTTTTACAGAATAATCAAAGTCTAAATCTTCCTTATTAAGTAAACCCACTTCTTTCAAGTATTCAGCTACATAATAATTTTTCATACCTTCTTCTGTTTTCAATGAATATGGAGGACCTTTCAGCTGTCTAACTAGCTCAACAGTTTGCAAAGTTGATGTCTGTACTTTTTGAGTAACTGTTTGCTAGAACATTTGTGATTGAAAATCAGCTTTTTGCTTTTCTAATAAAGACTGGTATTCAGTTTTTTGCTGTGTTAGTGCGTCTTGAATCGCTTTTTGCATATCTTTTGAGAAGGTGAATATTCATATATTTGCCAAGATGCTCATTGAAATATTAGTATATCAGCTGTTCTATCTCTTTTATGTCTAACTATTCGACATAACTCTATTTAAAAAAGCTTTTTGGATAATGCTTCTAATGTCAAATGTTTACTGATATCTTCAGCTTTTTCAAGCCATAAAGCATCTAAGAACTTTTTATGTAATTCTTCAGGTTTATAGTTAGCTTCATATATCATATCCCAAAGCTCTTCTTCTACTGTAGGAAAATGAGTTTTTAGCTACCATACAGCTTGACCAAATTGAATACTAGTAACAACTACTGTAGCATTTGGTAGATTAATAGGGGCATTAGTAGCATGATCTCCTGTCACATGCCAGTCTTTATCCCAAGGACCTTCTACAACTCTTAATTTAACTATTGCATTTTCAGGTTGTCTGACGGTCTCATTTAATCCATCAGCACCTATCTGAAGAACTGTATATCTATTTACTGCAACCAAATTACCTTGTCCTGTACTATCAGTCAGGTTAGTTAACTCCTAATTTGTCTTTGTAATAATTTTCTCATTGAATCATTCTAGGGTTCTTTTACTCATACGTTCTCTTAAATACCCTATTGTTACTTCTCTTCCAATTAGTGAAGCGCCTATATTATCTGCTGAATTTACATCTTAATTTTGCAAGTATAATCTAAGTTTTGCAAGAAAATATCTCCCACTTAAAAATTGGGTGAGAAATTCCTGCCATGTTTAGTTAATTAGGTGAATTATTCTGTAGCGCTAAAATTTGTTCCTGCAAATTTAAAATATTCTGATCCTTTTGCCTAATTATTAACTGAAAAACAAACTTTTTATGTAGTAACTCACCAATGCGAGTTTGTTTTCTTGGCTATAATAACTATCATCCTATTTACCTAGTTTTGAACATTGGTCTGCAACTGACAGGTATTTTGCTGAAGATAGTTAGTATCTCGCTAATATAATAATCGAAAAGTAAAACTTTCTCATAATAACTCACCAATACGTGTTTGCTTTCTTGCTATATTATTTATCATTCTATTCAACTGGTTTTGAGTATTAGTTTAATATTGCTGGAGATAACCAACAACTCTATCCATTACTCCTTCAGCAAAATTTCTTCATATTATTTCATTATCCCTTTCAGCCTTTGCATTATAACGCCTTCTCTGCTCTCAGGTAAAATCCTGTTGTAAACCATTAAATTTTTGACGAATTTGTCTTGTTGCCCTTTTTATTTAGTCTGATAAGATATCTATATTGTTATACAAGTCGATTACGAAATCTACCAACTGAAAAATAGATTTTAACACGTATAGCAAGGTTTTAGGTATCTGAAGATTAATGATTTAACTTAATAACTTTAAAAACTTGTTTGCATTAATAAAACTATTAAATTAATAATATATCAATTTATAAATACAGGAAATGTTGAGGATATATAAATTTAAATTGTGAATATGTATAAATACTTCAAATATGATAGGAGAGCGATAATGATGGATTGGATTTTAGGTCACAAGTTTAACAGATCAATGTTATAGAGATAATGTTTGGTTTATTAATAAAATATAAGTGGATCAATATGATTCAATAAACTAAATAAGCTCTTATTGGCGAACTTATCAATTGATGAATTTCACAATAAATTCTTTAATTAACTTTGATTAAAATTAAACTGAATTCAAATCTAATTGTCTCTAACTGTAACTGTTTTTAACTACAACAATTTCCTATCCTATTTATATAAAATATTTGATCTACTTCTATTACTAATTTAAGATAAAGTAAAACTATTAAAACTAAAGAAACATTGTAAACCTCATTAACTTAGTTAACTTCATTAACTAATTTAACTAAATAAACATAAGAAACTAAGTAAATTTAAACAACTATATAAACTTAGTTAATGACGTTATCATCGTTTCTGAGGTTTCGGTCATTTTGATCGTCAGGCTGCGGCTTAAGAAATTATGGCTTTCTTTAGTAATAATCTGCAGAATTATAATAGCAATCTCTTTTTTCGAATTATTTCCACTTCTATTGGTCCAATAATCTTATATTTATATTCGTTGAAAAGTTCTCAATGAGACGGTTCTAATGATCATATTTGCATCAAAATGTAATTATTAGATCGAAAATTATTTCATTTAACAATATGTATTACCCTATTATCCACATAACCATTTATAGCATCTGCTAGCTCTATAATTGTGATCATATTATCATCAGAATTAAACAGGTCAGGAGAATTTCCTCATACTGGTGAATTTTTCCTTGATGAGATAGTTCTAATCTGATATCACAATCTTCTCAGATTCTACTAACTACTTTTCTAAACTAGAGACATATTTTTCCTTATCTCACACATCCTTCTTAACTTGATATAGCTGACTTTTTAGACTGGAGATTTCAGATCTTAGCTCTGCTATCTCTTCTTCTGAATTATTTTTAAGACGCTCTATGTCTTTATTAAGATCTTGGATTTCCTGCTCACACTGGCTATATTCACTCTTCAGTTGATTGAACTGTTTCTCATTCAGGCGATTATTATTTACCTTTGTTTGTAATGCATTTTAAAGATGATAGTTATCCTTCTCTAACTCAGCTTTATATTCTTCACAAGTTCTTCTCTGCTTTGGATGAGGTCTGTGAAATGTCATTCTTTTTTTCATTATTATAAAAGAGATTCAGAATGGAAGAATCCTTGATTTATATTGATCCTCAAAAAACGCATGATCTTAACCAAAATATTTCCTTACAGAAGCTGTATTATCAACCTAAAAGCTTTTACCAAAATATTAAGGGATTATGGGATGCATGTAAAAAAACTGGACATACCATCCTATTTACTGATGTAAAAAAATTGCTTAATACTTAAGCAATATATCAAATCTTTTGTCTTTCACCTAAGCATATACCTTATGCTAGCTATTCTAGAATCACAAAACTGAATACTATACATTAGTGTGATTTGATCGAAATACCATATGATGATGTGAATATAGATTTATTAGATAATGGTCTAATCTTTTACTATGTATTATTGGTTATAGACTATATGACTAGATATAAAGATTTCATTTTTTTAACATCAAAAATGTAATGAAAAAGTTGCAGAAACTTTTAAGAGTCTATATAATAATTCTGACAATCCTCTTAACTGGTCTTGAAAAATATAATGTGATCAAGGTTGTGAGTTAATGGGAAGCGTAATATTAATAATAGATGAATATAATGTTAACATTCGAAAAATTATAACACATTTCAAACACACAAGCTTGGCTATGGTTGATCATTATGCTGAATTATTCGAGTTTAGAGTTTTTAAAAATCAGTATTCAATAGAGTTTCTCCTATATACTGGTAAACATTGTAAGGAATATGAATGATTTGCAAGAAGAATTGTTAATAATATGAATGATACTCTAACTCAATTAATTGGAATGAATCCTAATTAGAGCTCTGGATCAGGTCAGGTCAACCTGCGACCTAACCTAACCTAACCTGAAAAATTCAGGTCAGGTAGACAAATTTTCAGATCAACATCAGATCAGATCAAACTTATAACCCAACCTGATAAAATTCAGGTCAACCAATCAAATTAAACGAAATAAAATATTTAAAAAAAAATTTTTTTTGTCTATTTTTTTT